CATGCTGCAATGATGTCATATGCACAGCTTACCTACAAATATTTTGATGAATTTTCATTTCTCATGTGGTCTGCAATTACTGACAGTTAATCTTCACGCTTATGATAACTATTCAACTTGACAGTGACAGCAGGTTAGTTGTTTATCTAGATATCACAACTCCATTGTCTTGAGGACTAATTTGGGTCTGACAGAATTACAGGGAATATAGAAATTTATTAGGAAGTGGCAAGTAGAGAAAGACAACAAGTGAAATAGGTAATAAAAAACATGGATGTTGCACTTCAAGAGAGCTTAGTCTTGCATTAAAGTAGCCAGAAGTTTAAAAACACAAGATTATCGACACTTTTGATATTTTTGAAATTTATTCCAATCCGGAAGTATGCAATTTGAGTTAGATTGGACAGTCTGTTGGTGCCACTTTGAATAAAAATATGTATCCCAAAACTGATGATATTAATCTGTATATTAATATTAATCTGCATGATGTTTTTAAAAATGGAGATATTTAAGAAATGTACACTGAACATTTTGTCATAAACGATTAGATACAGCTAAGACTGACAGAGTTGGAGTCATAGAAACAGAATAGTCTGCAGATGTCGAGCTGACAGCTATTGCAAGGGCAGGGTTAAGGCAAGGTCATAGAGGATGTAAAGATTAAATCGTAGATTTTTAAATTAGTACTTGCTGATGGACTCAATATAATTCAGCAATGATGGGGATGAGAACTGAGCATGGCTTAATAAGTGCAGTAGAGTTTAGAGCATGTATATGGTGAGTAGAGAATGAGAGGTCAGCAACAAGAGTAATAAATTAGTACAGTTCAGCTGTTGGAGGAAGGACTGAGATTGGCCAGAGGCTGGCAATGTTGCAGAAATAGAAGTTAGTGCTTTTGGTGGTGGAGAGGATATGAGATCTGATTATCAGCTTAGAGTTCAGCAGAACCACAAGAAAATGAATGGCCTGGTTCAACCAGAGATGGTGATGGGAAGGAGGGAAGGAGGGGAATGGAGTAAGTAGCAGATAGTTTGTGGTACAGTTTGATAGCATGGAAGTAGTCGGGTGGATAAGTAAGGCTAAATGTCACTAGCACATGTGAAAGCTGTCCCAGGCTCAGAAAAGTTTTAGTAGGTAGCCCTGTAAAGAAGGCCACGGTAGAGGCACATTATAAAGGGTTGATATGGACAATAGGCAAGAACTGACAGTACACTACAATCATTGCAACATATATGGCTGTAGTTATGAATCTTGTGATATCAGTTGGAAACCTAGTTATATTAATCAGAAATCCAGTGCCATATTAATGGATGTCTTTACTATGAAGCCATCAGGAAAGCTGCTGAAGTTATTTACAATTTACTAGGTGAGGGTATGTCAAAAATACCAAAATGTGTGCTTTCACAACAATTTTTCAGCACCTTTGCTCTCCATGCATCACTATGTATAAAACTAGAATTTAGCAACAACAAGCTGTTTCCAAATTTAAGGACAAAATAGATAAATCCACATCTGCAAAGAGGTGTCAAACTCTCCAAATAGTTGAGTGAGACTGACATTTTATAACTGAGCTAAACCCTTATGCTAAGCAATGTAAGTAAAAAAGTTATTTTTAAAAAAGTTATTAAATTGAGCTCTCTTGTGGAAGCATAATTTTTAATTGTGTGTCTTTAGTATTATACTTGCAGCTACTGACAAACATAAACATGTATATAATGAAGGAGTAACAAATGAAACTCAAGTGAGACTTTGTTCTTTAAAACCATTTCAAAACTAGGTTCAATGATAGCCTGCTTACAGTATAACCAGCTTTTAAAATGGATGGGCATGTTAATAAATTTTCTTTAGATATAATTCAACATTATGTTTGCAGCAACAATTTCCCGCTACCTACACAGGCAAATGACAGGTCCATTAAATATTCATCTTGAAATTTTTGAGGAGAGCATTCAAGAGATTTTTGAAATATACAAACATGAATATATTGTTGCATTTAGAAAAATAACAGGGCTTGTCCATCATTTTCCTTCTAAAAAGTGTAACAAGTAATAAATGCTACCATTGAAAAAGACATATTTTGTCAAAGCTTTCCCACACCTTAAATATAGTCAATGAGAGCATCCACAATGCTCTGAACCAGAGAATTCCAAAGATTCACACGTTGAGTGAACTAAGTTCTCATGATTTCAGTCTTAAATTATCAGCTCCTTATTTGCCCCATATTCTAGATTCCCTAACTGAAATAAATAACCTCAGATTCTACATTTCAAGGTCCTTCAGGATCTTATACTTTTCATTAAGATCTTGTTCTTCTAAATATAGACCCTATTTATCTAGCCTCTACAGCTCTTGGCAGAATTATGAAGTTCCAAGTTTCCCTTGCCCTTTGTACAAAAAATTTCCCAATTTCATTCTTAACATCTCTGAATCCCTGTTCAGAACATAGGGCAGAAGACCATTCAGCCAATGGGATAGCAAGAGCTGCAGATGCTGGAGTCAGAGATAACACAATATGGAGCTGGTAATTTAAGACTGAAATCATGAGAACTTAGTTCACTCAACG